CTCATAGAAATTTGTAAGCAGAAAGTATTGACTATACAAATCATGTATATCATAAAGCAGGCTATTCAAAAGTTGTTTTAATAAACTTATCATATTTGCAGTGGTCTTTTTTACACAATGGACAAAATAATGTTTTTTTGTATGTTAGCAGGCCTTTAAAACTCCCAAGTTTTATGGTAACTATCACTATGGTTTCCTTTATTATTAATAATAGCAATCAATTGAAGGTGGTGTCTTATTTCCTTACAGGTATTTCCAGACGAGTTCCACCTCCAAACGCTGACTGGGTTCTTAAAGGCCTGTGCTGACCTTCACCCTGATGTCAATGTCAAGAACATCATCATAGCTCTTATTGACAGGTGATATAATTAAGTCATATACAGTAAAGTATAGACAATATATTAATCTTGTTTAGCTTTAGGCACTGAATTGATATTTTGTAATAATAAAGTGTAGCTTTCAAATTTTCAAATCTACTCAGTACTAGCTGGTTTTGTAGTCGTTTTCTCTTTAATGTTATTGGAAAAGAGAAAGTCTTTGCAAGAACAGGTGACATTGTATTTGATGTTCAGTTATGTTTCTTGTCAAAATTTGAAATCGTGCTTGTTTTTCTTTCTTTTTTTTTCAACAGACTTGCCCAATTTGCCAACAAAGAGGAAGGTGTTGGTATACCACAAGACATCCAACTTTTTGATATATTTTCACAGCAGATTTCTCAAGTCATTCAGGTAAAGAAAGCAGTGACACCAACTATGACAGTTTTCAATGCCTGTTTATTTTCAATAATTATAAATTATGATGACTATCCTTCAGAGAAAACCTTTTGTATACCTATTATTTTCTAGTCTATATAAACACGACCAAGCTTGTTTATACTCCACATCCCTGTTGATTGTTGAAATTAAACCCCAATCCTTTGGAAAATCTATTGTTGTTGCTGTTTATGTTCTATAGACAAAATTTTCAAAAGATTTCTTAATATTTCAGAATCGCCCTGATATGCCCCCTGAAGACATCGTTTCCCTACAGGTGGCGCTGATCAACCTGGCTCTGAAGTGTTACCCAGACAGGGTGGATTACGTGGACAAGGTCCTGGAGACCACCGAGGAGATCTTTAACAGGCTCAACCTAGACCAGTGAGTAGTTTGTAGGGGTGGATCCAGGATTATTTGAAGAGATGCAAAGCTGACCGTCCCATCCCCTTTGGCTTGGGGTTCCGGATCTGCTAAAGGGCCCCAAAAATGTCTTGGTATTTTTGAACTCCTCTTGCGAAANTATTTTCATTTAAACTTATCCATATCTTGTCTGATCAAGCTGTGAAAAATAAAACAGGTAAGGAAAATATACATTGTTCACATTCAGGTTGATGCAATATTGAACTTGGTGGCGCCACTGGTTTGTGACCAAGAAGGACAGCCCCAAGATGATATTGACCCCGAAGATTTTGCAGAGGAACAAGGCCTGATGGGAAGGTTAATTAACCTAATGCAGGCGGAAGATGCTGACCAACAATACTTGGTATGCCAATATCCACAAGAAAAATATTTATAAATTTGTTAGTGTTTATGGACCATTCAGAAAAGGGGATTTACTAGTCCGAAGGTCAAATATGGCCGACTCACTTGAATACTTCCCCATGGGATATCTATTCAGTGTCTATTAGCGGATTAGATGTCAAGCTTTGTACACTGGGTTGCCATATTTTAATCTTGGAGTAGTTAATCACCTATTCTGAATGGGGTCTATGGAATTGATTGTGGGAACATATATGTATTATCTATTGATGTACTGTAATGGTATAAACTGTGACAAGCCTAGTGAGCTAGGAGAGGCTTTAAAATTGCGAAATAAATCTCATTCAGTGCAATGCATAGATAAGATGTATATTTCAGTTATAACAAGTACATTAAACATAAGGAAATAAAAATTCTCTGGTGTGAAAAAAAGGTATGTTGTGGAAATGCTGTTATGTCTTAATTTCATCTTTTTATTAGCTAAGGTCTGTGATATTGAATGATTGATTGGTTCAGTGTGAAAAAAAAAAACAGACCACAGCTATGTTTTTCAAAGATGTCCCAAATTAAAGTAATTTGGTTTGATTTCAGATCTTGAATGCGGCCAGGAAACACTTTGGGAATGGTGGGAACATGAGGATTAAGTACACCCTGCCTCCATTGGTGTTTGCAGCCTACAAATTGGCTTTTAAGTACAAAGAACTAGAAGAGGAGGTGAATGTTTTGTGTGTCATTTACAGATGTGATCTTTGAATTATAATTACAGGGTAAAGCTACGGAAAAGCTTTGAGAGAGAGAGAGAGAGAGAGGAGGGGCACATTTATCTTCAAATCTGCTGTTTTTGTGTTTGTGTGTGTGTGTGAGAGAGAGAGGGAGAGTATTGTTATTTTATAGCTGCATTTGAAGCAAATTCCCATTTTTAATCCATATTTAATCCATTTCTAGGATGATAAGTGGGAGAAAAAATGTCAGAAGATTTTCCAGTTTTGTCACCAGACAATAGGAGCCCTGATAAAGGCAGAGATGGCCGAGGTCCCGCTGAGACTTTTCCTTCAGGGAGGACTGGCTGCTGGAGAGATAGGATTTGAAAACCACGAGTCTGTAGCATATGAATTCTTATCACAGGTGAATGTTTATATAGTTATTAGCTTCATGTCAGATCAGTACTGGTATGTTGTCTTGCAGACCTCAGAAATAGTGATATTGACAGAGCGCAGTCGTCTTATAGACGATATGCTTTCTTTACTCTGTTTGATCAATGTTATGTTTGGTCACTGGTCAATATTGAGTGTAATAAGATCCTGGATTTAAAGAATGATTATATTTTATATTAATTATATAATTTGATTTTCATTTATTCTTTATAAGTTGAAAAAAAAATTAGTAGGATTTTCTTAAATTTGTGAAAATTAAGAGTAACAATTGTCTTGATACAAGTGATACAAGTCTTTGTTTGGTTAGCTGTAGATTGAGAATCTTCAAAACAAAAATTTTTTCTATTTAAATCAAAACAGAAAATACTTCCACATTGTAATATCTCTACTATCTAAAAAAACATGTTTTTTTTTTCAGGCATTTTCGCTATACGAAGATGAAATCAGTGACAGTAAGGCGCAGCTCTCTGCCATCACTTTAATCATTGCCACATTTGAGAAAATGAAGTGTTTTGGAGAAGAGAACCATGAACCTCTGAGAACACAGTGTGCTCTGGCAGCCTCCAAACTTCTGAAGAAACCAGACCAGTGTCGTGGCGTGGCTACGTGCTCACATCTGTTCTGGTCTGGCAAAACGCGAGAGTCCGAAGGAGAAGAGGTAAGGGCAGGCAAATGGTGATGATAACAACAATAGAAATTTATTATGAATGCCACTGTAACAGGAATGGTAGGCCTCTAGGAACCGTGGTCTGCTTCTCATTACTTTGTACAGGTGGCATTTGTCCTATGTACTAATCCCAAACCCTAACCGGTACTTATCATATGGGAGCCCGGACGTCTATTTCTAGGACTTCCATTCCTGTTACACTACAACTCCAGCATTTATTTGTATTCAGTAATTAAAGTGTCATGTGTTAAAAACGCCCAGCCCTTTAGGCCTATAAGACACCATGGAGCTGGAGGTGGTCAGAGAGTGTGGACTTTCTGCTGTACGACTTTCTGCATGACTGGAGATCATTTGGCGACAACAGCCGACACAAACAGATTAACCTCATGATGCTGATGACATCTTTTTTCCTTTTCAGAGAAAAATCATCATCAGGATATTAATTATTAGAATTTATTATTTGGACAATTATCGGTATTTTATTAAGTTTTATTGATGATATGTACTTCCAGGTTCAGGATGGTAAACGTGTGATGGAGTGTCTAAAGAAAAGCCTGCGGATAGCCAACCAATGCATGGACAGCTCTGTCCAAGTGCAGCTCTTTGTGGAGATCCTCAACCATTACATATATATGTATGAAAAAGGAAATGACCAGGTGAAATAATTGTTGCAGTTGCTTGAATCTTAATACAGGGTCACTTTTTTTTTCAATCTGCCACATTAGAAATATTTTTTAGTTTTATTATTGTTATTATTTGTATTTCATCATGGATTATATGAAAAATGTGCCGACGAAATGGACCATGATAGATACATACTGTATGCATGGAAATGGAATGGATTTTAATTTCAATTTTAATTTAAATATCTCATTATTCAGGTGTTAGTAGCTTTGGTCAATTTAGTATTTTTACTGGGTCCAACTATGAATAGTAGCATTTAAAAGTAAATTTGAATATTCTTTATTTTTAACACACCCCCAAACTGCACTCGTTTCACATGCATGCATACATGATCAAATACAGGTAGAAGCATAAACATAAATACATATGCTCACATACCCTTATATTATATTATATTTAAGAATAATATATCCAACCATATTAGATTTGTGTTTTGGTTAAGCCAACTCTATAGTAATTGTATGCCTAATTAAAAGATCCATTTACCAAGCGCTGGAATAATTTGTTAAAAAATATATGTTCGTGATTAGTCCAGTAATTGGACTTCTTTTCTTTTCTTTCCTCAGATGACGGTCCAGGTGCTAAATCAACTAATCGGAAAGATCCGCGAAGACTTGCCAAACTTAGAATCCAATGAAGAGACTGAGCAGATTAATAAGCATTTCCAGAACACCATTGAGCATTTAAGACTGAGACAGGAGTCTCCTGAGAATGATGGACCTACTTATGAAGGTCTCATTCTTTGATGTTTCTACAAACTCATAAATGGGAAATGGAAATTTCACACAAAAAAAATCCTCCTTTTAACTGCATCAAGAAGTGTTGTTAGCATAATCTATCTGGATGATTACTTTGGTGTTAGTTGGATATTGTACATTTTACGTCGGTTCTGTATGCCATATTAAGTAAAATGTTCATACAAGGATAGGCTTCATATAGGTCTTGAAGAAATATGGACCATCATTGGCCCTTTACCATGACATGGAGCTCTTCTGGTCCCAGGAAGTTGACTCGCTGGTCTGTGGTCTTGTAATTGGTGTGAACACAATTTTTTTTTCGTATATTGGCACTTGATGGCAACGTCACCTCTGATTAATCTACTTTAATCATACAATGATGGGTGAAGATTGAGTATTGAATAGTGAGAATTTTTTGTTAAAAGGGATTCAGTTTAAACATCACACTGTATGTGATGGTTATCTCAGTAGACATAAGGAGATCGGGCCAATTTCTCTTGTCATTGTTCATGTGTCGCTTTGTAAAACTTGGTTTTACTGGGGGTAAATCGCAGAGCCTTTAATCCCCATAGATTGGGAATTAGCCTAGAATGCAGATAGCTTACAAGTCACCATGAGTTCAACTACATCTGTAAAAAATGACTATTTATTTAACTATTATGTCATATATGTACTGCATGCTGCTAAGTGCAAATTGTTTTGTAACAGCAAAAGTGAAAATGATAAAAAAAACCTTAAAAATGAATAAGAAAAGAATAAAAATGAAATACTTAAGTGTAATTGGATTTCAAGGTGTAATTGCTTGGACCAAGCTAAACAAGTTGTTCACTGGGTGCTTACTTGGACCCATCTTGAGCAGTTTACTATTGCAGGAATCAGGTTGGGAAAAAAATGGGGAAATGTGCATTTGCGTTTATACACAAGTGAAAGAAAACAGCTGAAATGATATCCTTAGTTGGAATTTAAAAAGGTGAGAAAGTGCAAATGACACGAAAAATGTGTACAGGCAATTCACAAAATTTATCGATCCTTGCTTATTCTATATAATTCTCAAATTAAACGAAAGTGATAAGACTTAGTAAAATTGGTACTGAAAAAGATAAATATCTGTACCTACATGTACGTTTATTTTCTTCCATGAGGGCAATATTAAATATTTATCATCAGGGACACTTCATAGCCTAATTACAAAACTAAAATGCTGCTTACGGTGAAGGAACACGGATGGTGATTTCTTTAAGTATGACAATTGGGGGGGGGGGGGATTCAAGGAGAAAAAAACATCATATAGCTATAAATTCCTGGAAAGAATTTTGTAAGCGATATTCAACACGTAAAAACCTGGGTTGCCATTTAATCAAAAATGTTGATTTTTATTGGGAAATAATATAATTTTGAGATTTCAATTGAGACTATGTTCACCCTGATCTATATAATTTAAAAGAAAGCGATTTTTCTTGTATTTCTTTTAAGACACACTTAACCTGTTTTGGTCTTAGATTTTTTTAAGACCAAGCTGTATTCTTACTACCATATATGATGTGTAAGCAGTCCATTGCTGGGCCGTTCTCTCGGTTTAATTTGTAGGCGTGACGGTGTATTAGGAATGTTTTAACGTTCAACACATTTATTCAGGATAATACTTGAGTACAACTGTTACTGTTTATCAGGAAAAGAAAAATATATTTTCATAATTAAACTGGTCAAGGCCCAATGAAAACACTCTTTGCTGAGCCAACCCCCACCACACCTTTTTGATTTCATTTTTATTTTGNCATATTAAAGTAATTTGGTTTGATTTCAGATCTTGAATGCGGCCAGGAAACACTTTGGAAATGGTGGGAACATGAGGATTAAGTACACCCTGCCTCCATTGGTGTTTGCAGCCTACAAATTGGCTTTCAAGTACAAAGAACTAGAAGAGGAGGTGAATGTTTTGTGTGTCATTAACAGATTATGATATGATCTATCAATAAGGTGCTAAACATACAGAAATCCTTTGTATTCATCAGAGAGAGAGAGAGAGGGGGGCATATTTATTTGCATTTATTGCTACTGATTGAGTGTGTGTGAGAGAGAGAGAGAGAGACTGCCCTACCCAACTACCAGACTCGGTCGCATTTCACAATATTATACCCTGGAACAAATTTTGAGATGAGATGCACTACTTTCCAGCCCTGCTCAGAATCATCGCTATCACTTCGCATACTAGGCAAGAGTGGTGTCATGTCTGATACTTTGAAGCGCATACTGATACACACCTTGAAAACGGGTAGTGTGGTCCAATTTACTGGTGAATTCAGGATCATTCATGTCTGGTAGTTGGGTAGGCCTGAGAGAGAGAGAGAGAGAGAGAGAGAGAGTTTTGTTTTTGATATCTCCATTTGAAGCAGGTTCCCATTTTCAATCCATATTTCATCCATTTCTAGGATGATAAGTGGGAGAAAAAATGTCAGAAGATTTTCCAGTTTTGTCACCAGACGATAGGAGCCCTGATAAAGGCAGAGATGGCCGAGGTCCCGCTTAGACTCTTTCTTCAGGGAGGACTGGCTGCTGGAGAGATAGGATTTGAAAACCATGAGTCTGTAGCATATGAATTCTTGTCACAGGTGAATATTTATACAGGTATTAGCGTCGGGTTAGATCAGTATGTTGTCTTGTAGACCTCAGAAATAGTGATGTCCATGGAGCACAGTTGTCTTATGAATGAAATGTTTCCTTTACTCTGTTTGATCAATGTTATGTTTGATCACTGGTAAATATTCAATGTAATAAGATCTTGGATTCGAAGAAAGGTTATATTTTATATTAATTTTATAATTTGATTTTCAGTTATTCTTTATAAGTTAAAAAATTTTAGTAGGATTTTTATAAGTTTGTGAAAATTAAGAGTAACATTTAAATGTCTTGATACAAGTAATGAAAGTATTTGCTTGGTTAGCTGTAGATTAAGAATCTTCAAATTTTTTCTTATTTAAATCAAAACAGAAAATACTTTCACATTGCAATATCTCTAGTATCTAAAAAACATCTGTTTCTTCCAGGCATTTTCGCTGTACGAGGATGAAATCAGTGACAGTAAGGCGCAGCTCTCTGCCATCACTTTAATCATTGCCACATTTGAGAAAATGAAGTGTTTTGGAGAAGAGAACCATGAACCTCTCAGAACACAATGTGCTCTGGCAGCCTCCAAACTTCTGAAGAAACCAGACCAGTGTCGTGGTGTGGCTACGTGCTCACATCTGTTCTGGTCAGGAAAAACGCGAGAGTCCGAAGGGGAAGAGGTAAGGGCTGGCCAATAGTGATGATTATCACAATAGAAATTTATTATTAATGCCACTGTAACAAGAATGGTATTCCTCTAGGAACTGTAGTGCACTTCCCACTACTTTGTACGGGTGACATTCCTCCCATATACTGACCCCAATACTCCAACGAACCCTAACCTGTACTAATCATATGGGAGCCTGGACTTCCATTTCTAGGACTTCCATTCCTGTATACCACATTAATTAATATATTCATTAATTATAGTGACATGTGTAAAAAATACCCAGTCCTTCGGGATTATAAGACACCAAGCGAGTATCTAGTTTAGCACCTGCTATTTGTATGTTGTGACTCTGTTCAGCTTTCTTAATTGGAAGTGGGCGATGAAAATGGTGACTTCTTTCTTTTATGAGAACAGCAAAAGTCTGGAACAGCTAGCTGATAGTGTTTGGTGATACTTTTTTATAAGACTTCCAATAAAAGGAGTAGCTAAGACTTCCAATTTGTATTTTTTTCAAATTCATTGTTCATGAAAGTTAAATATGTATTAACCCAACATTTATAATAATGATAAGATACAGAAAATTTTGATGATTTGTTAAAATCGTTGAATTAATTGATATACTGACCAAAAGAAAAAAAAAGCAATTATGAAATATGTTCCTCATTTTTGGTGGAACAGTGTACATAACTGGGGAGTTACTCTAAGGTGGTCAGAGTGTGAACTTTGTACTTAACGACTTGCCGCATGACCAGAGCTCACTTGCCAACAACAGGCGATACAAACAGATTGACCTCATGATGCTGATGGCATCTTTTTTTCCTTTCCAGAGAAAAATCATCATCAGGATATTGATTATTAGAATTTATTATTTGGACAATTATCAGTACATTATTAAATTTTATTGATGATATGTACTTCCAGGTCCAGGATGGTAAACGTGTGATGGAGTGTCTGAAGAAAAGCCTGAGGATAGCCAACCAATGCATGGACAGCTCTGTCCAAGTGCAGCTCTTTGTGGAGATCCTCAACCATTACATATATATGTATGAAAAAGGAAATGACCAGGTGAAATAATTATTGCAGTGTTTTGAATCTTATTGCAGGGTCACTTTTTTTTTCAATCTACCACATTAGGAAATATTTTTTAGTTTTATAATTATTATTTTGGATTTTATCATGGATTATATTAAAAATGTGCTGACGAAACGTGCCTTGATAGACAATATATACTGTATGCATGGAAACAGAATGGATTTTAATTTAAATATCTCATTATTCAGGTTTGATTGTTAGTAGTTTTGATCAATTTAGTACTTTACTGGGTCCAACTATGAATAGTAGTATTTAGAAGTAAATTTGAATATTCTTTATTTTAACATGTCTCCAAACTGCACTGGATCCACATGCATGCATACATGATCACATACACGTAGAAGCATAAACATACATACATACGCTCACATACCCTTATATTACATTAAAGAATAATATATCCAACTCTATTAGATTTGTGTTTTGGTGAAGCTAACTATACAGTAATTCTATGCCTAATTTAAAGATCCATTTAGCAAGCACTGGAACAATTTGTTCAAAAATATATCTTTGTGATTAGTCCAGTAATCAGACTTCTTTTCCTTTCTTTCCTCAGATGACGGTCCAGGTGCTAAATCAACTGATCGGAAAGATCCGTGAAGACTTGCCTAACTTAGAATCCAATGAAGAGACTGAGCAGATAAATAAGCATTTCCAGAACACCATTGAGCATTTAAGACTGAGACAGGAGTCACCAGAGAATGATGGACCTACTTATGAAGGTCTCATTCTTTGATGTTTCTACAATCTCATTAATGGGAAATGGAAATTTCACACAAAAAAAATCCTCCTTTTAACTGCATCAATAAGTGTTGTTAGCATAATCTATCTGGATGATTACTTTGGTGTTAGTTGGATATTGTACATTTTACGTCGGTTCTGTATGCCATATTAAGTGAAAAGTTCATACAAGGATTATCCCAGGATTTAAAAGGGTCTTGAAGAAATATGTACCATCATTGGCCCTTTACCATGACATTGAGCTCTTCTGGTCCCAGGAAGTTGACTTGCTGGGCTGTGGTCTTGTATTTGTTTTCATATATTGGCACTTAATGGCAATGCTGCCTCTGATCAATGTACCTACCTGAATCATGCAATGATGTATGAAGATAGAGTATTGAATGGTGAGCCTTTTTGGGGAACTTGTTGCTGAAAGGGATTCAGTTTAAACATCACACTGTATGTGATGGTTACTTCAGTACACATATGGAGATAGGGCCAATTTCTCTTGTCATTGTTCATGTGTCGCTTTCTTAAACTTGGTTTTACTGGGGGTAAACCACAGTACCTTTAATCCCCATAGATTGGGAATTAGCCTAGAATGCAGATAGGATTACAAGTCACCAGGAGTTCAACTACATCTGTAAAAAATGACTATTTATTTAACTATTATGTCATATATGTACTGCATGCTGCTAAGTGCAAATTGTTTTGTAAGAGCAAAAATGAAAATGATTAAAAAGTTTAAAAATGAATAAGAAAAAAATAAAAATGAAATACTTAAGTGTAATTGGATTTCAAGGTGTAATTGCTTGGACCGAGGACAAACTAAACAAGTTGTTCACTGGGTGCTTACTTGGACCCATCTTGAGCAGTTTATTATTGCAGGAATCAGGTTGGGGAAAAAATGGGGAAATGTGCATTTGCGTTTATACACAAGTGAAAGAAAACAGCTGAAATGATATCCTTAGTTGGAATTTAAAAAGGTGAGAAAGTGCAAATGACACAAAAAATGTGTACAGGCAATTCACAAAATTTATCGATCCTTGCTTATTCCATATAATTTTCAAATTAAACGAAAGTGATAAGACTTAGTAAAATTGGTACTGAAAAAGATAAATGTCTGTACCTACATGTACGTTTATTTTCTTCCATGAGGGCAATAATAAATATTTATCATCAGGGACACTTCATAGCCTAATTACAAAACTAAAATGCCGCTTACGGTGAAGGAACACAGATGGTGATTTCTTTAAGTATGACAATTGGGGGGGGGGGGGGGGATTCAAGGAGAAAAAAATATCATATAGCTATAAACTCCTGGAAAGAATTTTGTAAGCGATATTCAACACGTAAAAACCTGGGTGACCATTTAATCAAAAATGTTGATTTTTATTGGGAAATAATATAATTTTGAGATTTCAATTGAGACTATGTTCACCCTGATCTATATAATTTAAAAGAAAGCGATTTTTCTTGTATTTCTTTTAAGACACACTTAACCTGTTTTGGTCTTAGATTTTTTTAAGACCAAGCTGTATTCTTACTATCATATATGATGTGTAAGCAGTCCATTGCTGGGCCGTTCTCTCGGTTTAATTTGTAGGTGTGACGGTGTATTAGGAATGTTTTAACGTTCAACACATTTATTCAGGATAATACTTGAGTACAACTGTTACTGTTTATCAGGAAAAGAAAAATATATTTTCATAATTAAACTGGTCAAGGCCCAATGAAAACACTCTTTGCTGAGCCAACCCCCACCACACCTTTTTGATTTCATTTTTATTTTNAACCTGTCACTTTTACCAGGTTCATAAAAGGAGGGGAGTTATTTGTTAATCCCATAGACACAGTGACCTGTATAGTAGTAGAACTTTTCTTCATTATCTATCTTTTTGAAGAACTCCTGAAGGATTTTTCTGAATATGCAAAGGAATCGACATTAATAATGTTATCATAAAGTAATGTCATCATCTTTCATGCAGAAATTATCTATATATTTTTAAGTACTCATTTAATATGTATCATATATTATTTTTAGAATAATTTAATATGCTGTTTTTTATCAAAGTTTACGTTCATTACGCCAAAAAATAATTTAAGACTTAATATTCTTACGGATATTGCTCAAAGAGTTGTTTTGTGTTTTTCCCAACAGCTAGACCCCTCAACATAGCAAAAAATGCTTTAACATCATCAGTTTCTGGGTTTTTTTGGAGGACGTGTTACATCCGTTTACCTCTGCAATTTTGACTCCAGATTGTAGACAAGGGCCACCACTAGTTCTCTTGTTAAACCACAGATGCCTTTGATTGGGCTACAAATAAAATGAAAATTTTAAACAATTGCCCATGTATATGACATATCAAACATAATTTATTAAAAGCCACCAGAAAAAGTCCCACATCAACTACAGGGGCGGATCCAGAAATATTTTCTGACAGTCTTCCAAATTATCTTTGTTGATCCATCCACCATTTTTGACCGTCTTCCGACAGAAAAAATTAGATACCCCTCAATGTAAACTTAAAAATCTGACTGTCTTCCGGAAGACCCAGAAGACGGCCTAAATCCGCCCCTGAACTATCATGTGTTATGTCACACTCAGTGTATATGATGTACGTAGTCTATACCCACCAGTTAACATCAATATCCCTATAATTATACCCTGGCCATGTCTGCCAAGGAATCCACCCATCTAGTATGTAATTCAGAAAGCCATGGTTGTACTGCCTTCTTTTTGGTTCAGTGAGGCCTCTACCATCAGCAGCTCTGTGCCAGTTGAAAACTATTTTCAGGAAGGTGGCTTCATAAGTATACCCCTTCTCTTCCATGATCTTGATCATAGGTTTAGAAAATATTCTAAAAATGAAATAGGGTAAGTATTAGAAAAAAAAAAACATTTAGGTTATTCAGGAATTTAAATAGTTTATAAACAATGCATTTACAGACTATGGATAAACATCTCTGATAATTATATACATAATACCAGAGAATGAGAAGGTAGAGGAATAGGACTGGCCTCCCATGCCTATATCGATCCATCTGGATCGGTCCAACTGATCTGTCCAGTTGATAGCAATTTAGTGAGACTCCCCAAGGAGATAGATCAGTCCAAATATCTGTGGAAATGGTCCCTAGGGGCCTAATAAAACTAACCTTTCACAATCAGGCACACTCTGTTTATTTTTCCTTACAAGTGCGGAGTATGNATGCGCTATATAAGAAATAAATATTATTATTATTATTATTATTGGTTCAGTGAGGCCTCTACCATCAGCAGCTCTGTGCCAGTTGAAAACTATTTTCAGGAAGGTGGCTTCATAAGTATACCCCTTCTCTTCCATGATCTTGATCATAGGTTTAGAAAATATTCTAAAAATGAAATAGGGTAAGTATTAGAAAAAAAAAACATTTAGGTCATTCAGGAATTTAAATAGTTTATAAACAATGCATTTACAGACTATGGATAAACATCTCTGATAATTATATACATAATACCAGAGAATGAGGAGAAGGTAGAGGACTAGGACTGGCCTCCCATGCCTATAACATCCATCTGGATCGGTCCAACTGATCTGTCCAGTTGATAGCAATTTAGTGAGACTCCCCAAGGAGATAGATCAGTCCAAATATCTGTGGAAATGGTCCCTAGGGGCCTAATAAAACTAACCTTTCACAATCAGGCACACTCTGTTTATTTTTCCTTACAAGTGCGGAGTATGTTAGGATGGTGTCTTTGTCATGAAGCACCTCCACAAGTTTTGTGCCGTCAAAATCTCGAATTTGTCCATCTCTAAGACGTCCAGTAATTCTTTAAACACATGGTAATGATCTTCCCTCTCATGCAGCACTTCACCTATACAAAAATTATGAATGCTATTATTGCATGCTGAAGGATGAAATAACATTGACAATGAAACTTAACTTTGTGGTAGAAATATATATATATCCAGAGATATTTTCTGACAGTTGTGCCAACTGTCTTTTTTATCCATCTTCAATTTTTGACCGTCTTCCGACAGAAAAATCGGATGCTTGTCAATGTAAACTAGAAAAATTCTGATGGTCTTCCAGAAGACCCAGGAGATGGCCTCAATCCACCCCTGAATGTGTAAGAACTCTTTGTTTTGATTTAAAAAGAAAAAAGTTCTTGTTTTGAAGACTCTAAAGCTCACCAAATAAAGACTGATATCATGTCAGGGGCGGATGTAGAGCTATTTACTGAGTCTTCCAAATTGTTTTTGTTGATTCATTCTCCAATTTTGACCGTCTTCCATCAGAAAAAATTAAAATTAAATACCCGTCAATGTAAACTTGAAAATCTGACCGTCTTCCGGAAGACCCAGAAAACGGCCTAAATCCGCCCCTGCATGTAACAAGACATAATTCTTACTCTTCATTTTCACAAACTTAACAAATCCTACTAATTTTTTTTTCAACTTATAAAGAATAAATGAAAATCAAATGATATATATGGGTCAAAACACGGTAACGGTGCCATGGGTGTCAAAATTTCTTTTTGTTTATTGAAATTTAAATTTTTTACATTTTTGTAGAAAACAAATCAAATTTTCAGATAATGTAAGTTTCATTGATATAGCTCCCAGTACTTTTTCTGTGAGCCACTGGGAAACATCAGTGGTGGTTGGAAGGGTATCACGTGATACGTCAAAAAATGCGCACTCACGTCAGTCATTTGACGTTTTGCCGTCGAAGCGAAACATCGAAAGAGAGCATCCGGCGACGTCTTCCTGCGTCTTCGCCCAGTAATGTTTGCACAACTGTGTACGATGCATTGTTTATTGGGGCATTTGCATAACGTAATGCTGACTTTGTTTCAATGAATTTATATACATGGTTTATATAAATATGGATGCTACAAACTAATAATAAAACACTTCAAAAAATGTGCAGTTTAAGATTATTATTATTATTATTATTATTGTTAGAAATATTTTTATCAAAACTTAACTTACAAAAGATGAGGGGAATTCTGTATGCAGATGTTACAATATTTGATATTTTGACAAACTAAT